TTAATGGTGGATTAAACGTTTTTGACCTCTGGTCTTTCAATACCTTAAAAACATGCAGACAATAAAGTCTGAAAAATCCCACATCCATCTGGAGTGTCCATGTTCCATCACATATTCTCACATTTACTCACTGATTTTCCATACTTGTTTAGTCTGTTTCAGGGTTGTCAGGGAGGTTAGAGCTTGTTCTTTTAGTTGATGTGCAGGACCACCTCAATTCTCAACTCTCAAATCAAAGAAGTAAAAAAATCCAATTGTACTTTTCATTGGTTGTTTTAGCTTGTATTCAAAAGCAAAAATTGTCTTTGCAATGATGCTTTATGAATAAAAGTGGAAAGTTAATCCAACAATAGATTTATTTTGGAACTCTATAATGACCTGTCATTCTCATAGTTAAATTCTTCAAAATGTATGCATTTATAAAATACAGGTACTATTATATAAATTAAGTAAATACATGCATAGTAAACTAAGTAATTTTTTGTTTATTTATGGATGAAATAAAACTCAAAAAGCTTTTTTCACACTTTAAGAATAGCTTAAAAATGCGGACAACCTTGCTGCACCAACTGTCTTGTTAAATTCTAACAATATGTTGTTTTATATGTATTTTAATATATATATATATATATATATATATATATATATATATATATACATATATTCTCTGTTATAATATATAACAATATATTTTAAATAATATTCCTTATAAACATGCATGTATACACACATATGTATGCACGCACACAAACACACTAAAGACAAGAGATTACAATGTAGTATTTGACTATTAAACCCTGAAATGGTGTGCCATGCATCAAGCAGCTGACAGAGTGGAAAGGCGCACACACACACACACACACACACACACACACACACACACACACACACACACACACACACACACACTTGTATTTATATGCTTGTGTGGACCTCCATTGACTTCCATTCATTTTAGTGACTCCACTATGCCTAACCCACACCCCAACTTAAATTAAAAGTTCATTCGCACCACACCACCAAATCCAAGTATTAGGGTACTCCACATTGTGTGGACCAGCAAAATATACCCATATGTTACAGGTTAAAAGTCCAAATGTGTCTACTTAAACATATAAAGTACACACACACACAAACACACACACACACACACACACACACACACACAGAGAGAGAGAGAGAGAGTCATTTACATTTTTATCAACATTTGTGTTTTAAACAGGAAAAACATTACTGTGTTTTGATGTAACAATAAATGTATAAATTATTTTAATAAAAACTAAACGCACCAGGACTTCATTTCCTGACATTTTTGTTACATTGTGATGTCAGACAGACTCAGTGGAGTGGTGCTGCACCCGTCTATCTCAAACCACCTACAGGTGCTGTAAACTCCACCTTTCTCCTACAGAGGGCGCTGTAACACCAACACAACAGCTGTTAGCAGGGGTGCCTCATTTTAGTTACAGATTTGTAGGAATAAAATCTGAATTTTCTGCCATTTTACTCTTTATCATCAGTTCTGTGTAACCTTGCATAATAATCACTGGAATTTCTAGTTTTATACATTTCTCATCACATAAAAAAGAAAATGTTGGTTGTCCTGAGTAACCGGATCATCATGTGCCTTTATTTTTCTTTGAATAAACTAAAATCAGGACATCAGACGTTTGTTCTTTAAGAGTAAGACATCAATGACGAGGCCTCCTAACACACTTTGTTTTGTAGAGATGCAGGATTGTTTATGGTTGTGTAATTACACTCCTTGCCTTGTCTCTGTCCTACGTTTGCCTTTCTGACTGAATGAAACTTAAAGTGAGGGTCAAGCATCAACATATATATGGGTGGAGACCATCGACATACATATATGGACAATGGGTTTCCATAGACTCCAATAATAAGTTTTTGTACTAAAATGGGAGGTGACCACCACTGCCATTTTGACCGTGTCACAGGTTCCGTCAAGCCCAGACAATTCCATAAAAGGGAAGAGAGGAGGACCTGAGGGTGGGGCTGTAAGGCTGGGATCAACTGACGACACCCGGTCGAACTAGCTACAAGCTAACCTGAAGCTAACCCAAAAGCTAACACAGAGGTGGGAGCTAAGCTAACGGAGGTGGTAACCTAGCTACAACCGGAGTTAACTGTGCACAACACCAGAGCTTCTGAGTCAGAGATACGCCGGGCTGACCGCTGGGTAAAACCGGGTGGAACACAGAGGTCTCCGAGACCTCCACAAGTCGGCAGCCGCACAGCAGACAAGCGCCGCTGCGATCTGAGATGCGCAGAGCTGTCGCTGGGGAGAACCGGGTGGAAAGGTTTCCATCCCAGAGCTCCACAAGCCGGCAGCCCGCACAGCACACAGAAGCCACGATCAGACAGAGATGCGCCGAGCTGCGGGGAGACCCAGCTGTCAGCCCACGCAGCACACAGAAGCCGCAATCAGACAGAGATGCACCGGGCTGCGGGGAGGGGAGAAACGGGTGGAAAACATCGGTCTCCCAAGAGCTCCACAAGCCAATAGTTGGAATCCAGCTCCACCAACATGTTATATTTCAACCCATTTTCTAAAGTGCAGCATTATGTTAAATGCACTGGGGTTTCGGTAAGTAAAATTATATTTATGTATGTATGTATGTATGTATGTATGTATGTATTTGTATGTATGTATGTATGTATGTAAAATTATATTATGTATTTTAGGTCACTGCCGAGCTTAGATTTTAACACCTTTCATGGTGTTGTTTAACCATGAAATTTAAATGTAATAGGGTAAAACCCAGTGCATTTAACATAATGCTGCACTTTAGAAAATCGGTTGAAATATAACATGTTGGTGGAGCTGGGTTCCGACTATCGGATTGTGGAGCTCTCGGGAGACCTCTGTTTTCCACCCGTTCTCACCTCCCCGCAGCCCGGCGCATCTATGTCTGATCACGGCTTCTGTGTGCTGCGTGGGCTGCCGGCTTGTGGAGCTCTGGGATGGAAACCTTACCACCCGGTTCTCCCCAGCGGCAGCTCTGCGTATCTCAGATCGCAGCGGCGCTTGTCTGCTGTGCGGCTGTCGGATTGAGGAGGTCTCGGAGACCTCTGTGTTCCACCCGGTTTTACCCAGCGGTCAGCCCGGCGTATCTCTGACTCAGAAGCTCTGGTGTTGTGCAGTTAACTCTGGTTGTAGCTAGGTTGCTACCTCCGTTAGCTTAGCTCCCACCTCCGTGTTAGCTTTGGGTTAGCTTGTAGCTAGTTCGACCGGGTGTCGTCAGTTGATCCCAGCCTTAAAGCCCCACCCTCAGCTCGTCCTCTCTTCCCTTTTATGGAATTGTCTGGGCTTGACGGAACCTGTGACACGGTCAAAATGGTGGTGGTGGCCACCTCCCATTTTAGTACAAAAACATGTTATTGGAGGCTATGGAAACCCATTGTCCATATATGTATGTCGATGGTTTGACCACAGAGAATAAATAACGGACACTAGGGGGTGCTAAAAGCAAGCAAATCTGCTTAGTATCCCTTTAACAAACACATGATACCAACCAACACAAATGTGTCATCACATACATGTTAGGTAAGAGCTTCATCCTCCGCCCTACAAAACATCACATCCTGAAGTGTAAGAGTCAACGTCTGGACCCTAAACTCTACATATTTCCACATGTTTATGTATGAAAAGGACTATGCATTAGAGTCACTCTCTTGTTGAAGCCAATCAGAAGATTTGTAGCTAAGTGTTAGCATGACTCTGGTGCTTCGTAGCTCTTTTAGATCAGTGTCTTTGTGTTTGACGCTCTGAGGTTTGAGTGAGGTTAGTCTCCTGCATCCCTGTCAGCTTGATGCTAGTAGATTAAAGGAGTAATGTCAGGTTGTTCCTACCTATAACCCAATTGGTTTTGTTTTAATTCAATTCAAAATATTTTCTGCCATTTTCTCTGTCTAGAGCCAAAGCGTGTTCCTCCTCCACTATCACCGAAGCCTCGCGGGCCTCCGACAGCTCCCAAACCCGGCAAAGCTGTAGCGTCTCCAGTTACCATGAGCCGGGCTGCAGCCAGTCCCACCTCGGCCCCTAAGCCTTCCTCTGTAGCCCAAGGGCAGATGTCGCAAAGACTTTCTATTCAGAGTGCAGTTTAAGATGGTCATTCTTACATTAGACTTTTATGTTTTTACAATTCAGTGTTTTTATCAAAGCTGACAATTTTATGACATCTTGAGTTTCTGCACAGAACCTTTTAGGTTTTCTGTTGCATGAAGTTTTAACTCAACGCACCCCCAAAAGGTGAGGTTCACTGATGAGGCACTAAAAGTAATTATGTCCCATTCTGAGTTAATTCTACCCAAACACAAACCCACAGCACAACTGTGCATGATTTGTCAAAGTTTTAGCATGATCTGAATTTTAGTTTGAAGTCCTTTAAATGACAAACCAAAATAAGTGGCTGCTCACATCCATGAGAAAAGTTTTATTTAAAATGAAAAAAATAATAATATGAAATTAAAGTTTGCTGTTTCAACAGTAAAAAGATGATTACAATTATGTGAAAATCCAGACTGATTCAGATTAGTGCAGCCACATGGATGCATTTACTAAAGCTTCACGTATGGTTTATCCTGTGGATCAGATGACAGGATGCATGGTTTTCCTCTTCTTGCCTTTTACGGGTTTCAGTAAAAGCTACTGAATAAAATTACTTAATAATTATAACACCCAAATAATTCATAAATGCATTGTTAAGAACATTTAGTTTCTAGTTTACGTCGTAAGAAGTGAAATTCAAAAAAGAACCCAAGAAGCAGATGCTTCCATCTTGTTTTCAGCTGCACTGATTCATAAAAATGTGTCTATTTAGTGTCTGACTGTCATAATGGACTATGACTGGAAGAGCAGATGCAGCTTCTGATGGTTGATCTCATAGTTCATGTTCTGTAGGAACTCAGTCAGCCCACCAGTGAGCAGCTCTTCCATGGGAACAAACTGCAGCACCTGTCTGTCAGCTTCACCCATGTCTTCCTCTCCACCTAATATCTGACTCATGCAGCTCTGGACTTTAGTTAGAACAGGAAGCACCTGAGCTGCGGCTTTGGGGCAGAAGCCGACACACAAGAGCAACGCCCCGACCACACCTGAGGGAAGTGGACACCTGTACGACACATAGCCGAAACAGGCGTGCAGGCAGAGCACAATGGCTGCAGTGACACGAGTGAGGGCCGAAAACACGGGTAGAAGCAAGGCATCGCCAGAGTTCAGCGTTTGCAGGGAAAACATCACACAACCTAAAAGCTGCTGCTGGTACAGGGGCTCCCCATCGTGGAGCAAGACACAGCCTCTCTGAGGAGGTGAAGGCTCTGCACAGAACCTCAGAGTCAAATCCTCCACTTGATTCTCACTGGGAGTCCACACAGAGCTGCTGCCAAACACCAGACACTGTTTCTTCATTTTGCTTCTCAAAGACCTAGTCTGAAATGCAGCTTCAGACAAAATGGAAGCTGCAGAAAGTGGACGACAAGAGTCACAGGGGGACACAAGGGTCCAGTCTACATCCGTGTTCAGCAAGGCTTCATTCAAATGGTTCAACAGCCCTACGTCACAGAATGGAGAGTTTCTGACAGCAGGCAGCGCAGCTCCGGTGATGATGTACCATGAATCTATGAGGCAGCTGGACAGAGGTCCGTCTAACACACAGCCTGTCTTGCTTTCCTCAGAGTAGTGACTCTGTATCCAGGTGCCATCGCAGCTCCTCTTAAACCGCTCCCTCCAGTTCAGGGTCTGCAGCTCCCTCCGCTCGTTGAATGACCCTGTCTGCTTCTTCTGTCCCAGAGGTCGTCCGGCCGACACGCTGCAGCAGGCGGGACTCACCGTGTTACGAGAAACCCATCGACTTCGTGGAAGAAAGCTCACCTGCACAGAGAAACAAAACGATCACCTTCATATCAAACATTTAAAGAGTTTCTTCTGCAGTTAAAATATCTGAAAATATCTGAGATCAAAAAAACAAAAAAAAAAAAACACCTTAGCTAATAGTCAAACTTTCATTAAAACATCAGAAATCTCCAAGTTTTTAACCACGTTTTGAAACGTCCTACCTGGAAGCGCTGCAGGTACTCCTGAGCTACCAAGTCCCTGGTGTGTTCGAGACACTGCCTCTGCTCTGCTGTTACTCTTTCAAACAGCTGCAGGTTTTCTCTGATCGTCTCCACCTGCAGACTGTGGAAGTATGAGCACACCTCCTCATGCTGCTTCAGAAATGATTCTGGGATAAGAGAAGTGGGAAAAAGGGCCTCGCGGTCAGCCATAGTTGGTCCATAATTACGAATCAGTTTTGAGAGCAGAGGCCTCACGGCCTCTTTGCTGAGGTAGTTCAGACACACGATGTAAACTTCAGAGTTTCCTGATTTGCTGGTGGCAGGTTTGAAGACGTTAACGGTGTGGAAACAGCAGTTCAGCAGGTAAAGTAAGCAGACTGAAGAGTGCTCATATATGGTGAACATCTTCAGCACAAAGGAGCCACCGGAGCTCAGGAGCAGCAGTGCAGCTGTGACCTCGCAGTAATGAAGTGACGCCACCAGAGCTTCCTGTTCATCCGGGTTCTCCTGACAGTCGAAACTCCCATCTGCAGTCACCAAACCAACTCTACGCATGTTTGACACAAACGTCTGCAGATCCAGCAGGTGTTTCTGGATCATGATGTTCCCTGTGTTGTCTGAGCCAAAGAACCACCAGGGCAGTGTGTTGGCGATTAACCGATCATCTGCGATGGTTGCGCTCCCGCCGTTGGCCTCGTGGTATGGATTCAGAGTGTTGGCGGCCCAGCTCCAGTCACAGTAACGTGTGGACTCACTGGTTTTCATGTAGTGATTCAGAGCTGTTATAAAGGCACCAGGAGCTTCACACAGGTGCACCGAGTTCAGCTCACCATTCTGAATATCCTCCTCTGGAAGAAGGTTAAAAGTTCCCAGGATCTCATAGAACTTGCACCAGGCCTGAGTGCAGATCTCAGCGTTGGCAGCACAACGAACGGCATTGATCACTTTTCCAGCTCGATTGGTAGAGTTGGTGTGTTGATGCCACACCTGTATGTTCTTGTCACTGAGCTGGTTCTTCACCGTGTTCAGAGACAGCTTCAGCTCTTGCAGATGTTTGTGCTGCTTGGCTGGATGTTTGAGAGCAACATTTGGGTCGGGGAGGCTCCACTCCCCACTGGATGGCTTCACATAAGTCCGAACTTTCTTAAAAATACTTTGGATCTCTGCTTGTGTCTCTCTATCAGAAGCCACCAGGCTGCAGAGGTGCTGCTGCTTGCCAACTTTCCTCCTAGTGCCATTACCTGAGCTCATCCTCCACACCTGCTGAGAAATAACAACAAAAAGTAGTAGAAATCCAATCACTAAAGGGCAAATATGGATTATTTACTCTTTCCTGATGGAATCCAGCAGAATGTTTACCATTTACAAGGTGTGTTTTTGCTGGTTTTAGGGATGTTTTTTGTGGATTACACTGATAAAAGTATTGCTGTTGTGTTTCAGAAGAAATTCAGTAAGACCTCAAAAAAGTCAGATCTACAGTCCAGGTTCATCCTAATAGGTTAAAAAACAAAAACTTTAATAAGCTATGCTTAAAATTCTATGACATTTATAGTAATAATATTTGATACCGTTTATTATTTTGAACAAAACACAGGGGGCCCAAGGACAACAGGCAAAACAAGACAAAAAAGTCTGACGTGTTGTGTAAAAACTGCTATTTTTAGCATATTTTTTAGGTCCGACGTGTTGCTACCAGACGTACAGCAGTCAGATCGCAGCAGCAGATCAGAACTGGGTCGTGCAGTGTGAGCGCATGACTCGTGAGATCTGCCCTGCGAGGAAGTCGTACAGTCTGAGCTGAAGCTGAGTGCTACGAGTGAAAAAGTCGCACAGTGTCCGCCCAGCTTAGTGAAGTTTGCAACAATAAAGTTTAATTCAAAATGTTTACAACACTACGGGCGCAGCTCAAACACCGGCTTGTCTTTACGGAACCCTTTTTCACAGCATGCTTTTAAAAGCGTATGCTTTATGAAAACAATCCTTGCTTCTCCGCGGTCTGCTGACAAGTCACAAAACAACCCGAAAACACTGAAACTCACCGAGCTAAAAGACTCACTACGCAGTCAACGGAAATTCCTGATCACGTGACTGAGAAAGAATCAGTCATGCGCATGCGTGCTAGGAGTGGCGCTTGTTACTCTTAAAGAGGTACCTGTGTTTTTGGAGATAAGAGTATTTTTTTCTCTAAATTTTCTTCTTTTTTAATTCTTCTGTAAATTAGAAATAAAATAAATCCAATGATTACATCCTAGAGCATGGTGTTTTGGTGCTAATGGGGCAGGTAGCAGTTTTAAAGGATAACAAGAAGAAAGACCGAATTCCAGAAAACTTTTTTTTCATTATTATTATTATGACACTAATACAATATTATTTTTTTCCTTTCGCTCGTTCTACCAATTCTGCTCTTTTTCAGGATCCACTGATTACTTCTTTCTTATTTTTTTCTCATATTATTTTCTTAAAATTGTTACTTCTCCTCAATTTTATTATGTATAATTGTTTTTATTATTTTTCTTTTCTTTTTGTTTTTGTTCTTGTGAAACACTTTGTGATTTTTATATTGAAAATTGCTAAAGAAAATATAGTTTCTTCTTAAGACAACATTAGTTTGTAAATGTGGGCACATTTTTCATAAACCGTTCTAATGCAATAATAATAATAATACTAAATGGATAAATAATGTTCTTGGGCATAAGCAACAGTTTAAACAGCAGAATTTGTAAATTATTAATAAAGTTCTGTCTCAGTGCTCAAAGAATATAAGTATTCAATGTTTATTTTTAGCAAGACTACCTGCAGCATGATGTCACCTGATTATTGTTGTAGGGAGAAAAAAAGTTCAGTTCAACTTAAAATTCAACACTCATCTTCTTTGCATACATGGTTTATCATGTCACACTTGTCTGTTTTACAAAGGGAGTGCATCTAAAAATATTCACGTCACTGAGCATGTTTCATGTTAGCTCAGTCTGTTGATGACACTGTCACTGAAGCAGATGTTTAGCCAGATGTTGTGTGAATGTAGAAGAAAAAACAAACAAAGAAGAAATTATTCAGTCCTTTTAATATCTGAAGCTAAAGCATCTCAATTTTACTCAAATCATCAATGGCCTGTGTGAAATGCACCCTTATTCACAATCTGCAATCTTGTGGCAACATTAGTGTTAATTAATCAGCCTGTTCAGCTTGGCCTAAGATAAAGTGCTTTAAATTACAATTCAATTCTAACTATCACCTTGCCAATTAGAGATGATCCTGCTAATTTTGATAAAATACAATTAATGAAACTGTTTGGTGAATTGTAAAAAACTAAGTGGATACAGAGTCTTTACAGTCTGCATGCTGCGGAACGGCAAAGAATTGCTGCACAGGATGAATGAAATTGACAGTTTTATCTCCAACTGGACGAGGAGCAGAATAGAAATAAACACGGCATTAAGCAATCACGTCAAACATCTGCTCATTGTCACAGCGACGCTGCAGTGATGCTAAAAAGTCTCTCTTTTCCTCCATACAGCTGCTGTCTGACAGCTACCTCTCTTTTCTGCAGAACCCCCTCCCCTCACAAAAGATGGATCATCTGAAAAACAGACAACACATATCAGCATCTGAGTTGGAAAAAGAAGGGGGGCGCATCACATCTGGTGGATACAAGCAAATAATTTACAATGTAAACAGGCTCATGAACAAATCATAATTTGTGTCAACACTCCTGCTCGAGCAGCTTCTGAAGTTGGAGTTGCAGCTGACGGATTTTCTGACTGACGACCCAGAGCCACCGCTCCAGAACTCGGCTGAACACTCGCTGATCCGGCTGTCATCTGCAGCATTTGGGAGTATCTTGGAATTTTAAATGATCTCACAAAATACCAACAAGCTAGTAATCTATAACGTGTTTCCAAATGCAGTTAGAATTCTATACTGTAACCTGCTGTGACAACAGTTTAGTACACACTAGTTTTTAATTATTTTTCATTAATCTCACTAACGAAAAACAGCTAGTTTCTAAGAATTAAAGTAATCCTAATTTCATGTATGTAAAACATTATTTGGTTCCATTTGAAGTTTGGGATAAATTCAAGGAGTCTGCATGGATTGGAGAGCAGAAAGTCTGAAATCTTCCTGTTTGCTTGACAGGCATTTTCTTTTCATAATCAAGAAAAATAACCAATTAACCTCATCTGGTGCTGAGCTGCAATTGGATGTCATCTCTGTTTACTCTCCAAAACACTATATTCCAGTTCCTCCTCTAATCCTTGCTTGTTTTATCGGTTAAGTTTAAGAAACTAGGTGGGATGTGTTCTTTTTGTGGTGTTTAAAATTATGTTCGCATGTAGTTTAAGCCCCTCCCAAACAGTTTCAGTTTTGAGGATATTAACTTTAGCTGCTGAGCATTATTCTGGCACTTGTCCTCTCTATTTCAGTTTTATGGTCTCATACCAATTGACTTCAGGTCACCCGCTGAAGCAAACTGATTCAATAAAAGGCAGAGTTGTGGGTCAAAGGGCCCAAATCTGGCCACAGGGACACTTGTCATTTAGTGTGTAAACAGCACGCTCCCATCTAAAGATGTGTTTGCTCAGGTTTGTCTGCAGCACTGTCACTGCACACGTTTTGCTTCCATGCACTTGAATACGGAGGCCTGTCACCGAGCTGTGATTCATTACATCTCTGCACCCCCTGGAGATTTTCTCCCTCCATGCGTGTGATCCATGTTTGTCTGCACAGATTCATATTTCTCCTCCCTGAAACATTGATGATGAAGGGTGGTGGGTGCAGACTGGGGCGCGACACGAGCCTTTAAATCAGTTGTGATCTGTGCTTAGAAGAAAACTCCCACTCTGATCCACTTTTTTTTCTTTCTGCAAAACAACTTGGTGACTGAAGTGATTGCTTGGATTTTTCCTTTCAGTGTCATCAGGATGATAATAATAATAATGCATTGAACTTATATAGCGCTTTTCTAGATACCCAAAGACGCTTTCACACACTCTCACATTCACACACTGCTAGTGATGGTAAGCTACTTGTAGCCACAGCCGCGCTGGGGAGGTCTGACAGAGGCGAAGCTGCCATTTGGCGCCGTCGGCCCCTCTGACCACCACTAATACAGGCAAGTTGGGTGAAGTGTCTTGCCCAAGGACACAACAGCAGGATACCCCTGGCGGGAGCTGGAATCGAACCCATGACCCTCCGATCATGAGGCAACCCGCTCTACCACCTGAGCTACTGCTGCCCCAAATGATATGGGATTATAGACAATTGATGGTATTCTTTGCACTTTAAGGCACAAACTCATTGCATTTGTTTTTGACTGCCTGCAAAGTTTCTGCAGAGTAATTTGGCTAAAATTATTCTTAACAGAAGCCACATCTGTTGATTTCACCAGTTTTTCCTGATATATGCTTGTCATCCTACACAGCATTCCTATTGTTTCCTCTCTTTCTTGATGCATAAATCCACAGCCTTGGGCTATCAGAAGATTCACTCTTGCATCATGAGCAGAAAGGATTTTTTTACGTTCTCAGGTGGGACTAATCCTTGTGGTGGGGTTGTTTTTGCAGCAGTAAGCTCAGAAAGTCCAAAATCCTAATTGCTCCCTGTGGATGGGGGAGATTGTACTTCCCTATTTGCCTGCAGGGAGGTGACTTTCTCCCTAAACACTTGACAAACCTCAAGAAAAGCACAACTCAGTGGTGTGAAACAGCAAGTCAAGTTTGAGAGTTTGTTTGTGCTGCATTGTGTTGAGTTTAGCTCCTCTCTCCTGCAATGGGAAGTGGATACGATGCATATTTGGTCCCTGAACTTGTGGTGTGCAGAAAGTGATGATGCAGTTTACTGTTTCGGTAAGGTGTTTATCTCTGGTGGAGCTGTGCACAAGAAAATCACAGCACAATCTGCCGGATGGACCTCAAACCGGATTCTGCTTTATCTGTTTGCAGCATTTTGGCCCCTGGGTTTGTTTTATCGCTGGCGATCACACTGTAGTCGCCCACAAATGCATACTGTAGCGCATCTGATAAAAAATGTCTGATTACTACAATGAGGCACCGTGTCACTCTATTTTGCACACGCTGTACTCTCCCATTCTGACTGCTGCTCAGCCGTATTAACACAAAAGCAAAAATGTGGCAGAGAGAAGCCCGGAGATGCTAATTTATTGCACATGTGTGCTTCCACACGGATAATCGCACCGTGATATTCATTCCTACCAACAACATTGGTTTTTGTTGTCCCGTAAAGCATATAATTATGCAGTTTAAGATGCTGATTATAGAATAACATCAGCAACGAAGCAAAGGTATTTTTCTGGTGATGTGTTTCTGCAGAGTTTTTCCTCTTATTCTAAACAGATAAAGAGTTTGTTGGACATTTTGCTGGTGGTGAACTTCAGCAGATGTCAGCTAAAGCAGATAATTATAGATGAACAAGAGTCACTGCGTTGTTATCGGTGCAGAAATGACAGAACAGCCTTCTGGATATTCAAGACAGAAATGATTTGTTGACTTAAGCTGCAAATGCCCTTTAAAGGATGTAACTTTTGTATCGCCTTTAGCGTTTTTATTTTTTGTGTGAAAAACAGAAAAAAAAAATCAAAGAAACTGTGGAAGATTTGATTCCCATGAATAAAATAACAAATAGTAACCCTGTTGTAGCCTAAATAAGTGGCATTAATGCATTTCACCCACTTCAAGCATGGATTTATTTGTATTCTCAGCCACTCCCTGCAGGCCCATGGCTCCCTTTATCTCATCACTATTGTCATTCAGCACACCAGCTCATCGAACGCTTTTAGTGATCACCTCCTTCAGCTTCTCTTTGCTTACTCTGCACATTCTTCAGTATTTAAAGCTTTGTTCTCATCAGGTCAGGTACATTAGTCATCTGTCAGGTAGGTCAACCCATCGTTGATGTTTGATTAAGCACACAGGAAACGGGCAGATCCAACAGCTTATGAAGGTCACTTGGTGGACACAATCATCATTGTGCAGCAGCTGTTAACGTGTTTAGGATTATTTGTGAGTCTAAGATTAATTACAAGGTTCTTCTGTGGCTTTGCACCATCCGTTCTTCTTGCTGGATGCAGTTGGTCATGTTAATTCAGCAGCCGATTTTTTTTTATCGCTGCATGAGAGAAGAGAAAAGCCAGGGGCAGAATTTCAGTGAGCAAACTCAGTTGCACAGCTGCATTTGAAGCATTCATATTATTTAGGCAAATGTTTCATAAAAGATGCTCCCACCCCCACGCTTTCTCTCCAACATGAGTGTCTTATCACATGAACCTCACGTGACTCTCAGAGAAGCATGAGGCTAACTCTTCTTAAAGGCTTTTGTGTTTGCAGTTACTCTGGACTCCCTGAGTTTGTTGGATTAATGTTAGCTTGTGAATGAATTGGAGCATCAATGTTAGAAACTGCACACTGGCATGACAAAAACACCATCCCATAAGCCATAATGATCACTTTTTACAAATATTGTTTAACCTCGCCTGAAAAGCCGATTACAGGTTTACTGAGGGACAAACAGCATATTTTAAAGTAATTTTCAACCATTTTGAGGTGTAAAAGTTAAACATCAGTATTTTACACATCGAGTTGGTCAGACTGATGAGTTAAGCACAACCAAGATCAGTGCTGTCAATCTAAGGTTGCAGGTTTGAGACCCTGCTCAGTCAGTTACACGTGTTATGTCCTTGGGCAAGCATCTCAACTATCTTGCCCCCTGCTGGTGGTTGAATGGACTGGTGGTGCATGTGTAGGTCAGTGGCGTGTCCAGATCTTTTAAAATGGGGTGGCCCAGGTGAGGCACTACTTTGTGCATGGGTGGCACCAATGGTTATGCTATTTTTGTTTTACCTCCAAGCCTTTTGTGGACAATGAAAAGCCTATTTAAATGTAAATTAGTGTGGTGGCACCTGGGGTGGCCAATCAGATTCCAAGGGTGGCATGTTCTACCCCAGGCCACTCCCTGGACATGCCCCTGGTGTAGGCACCACCACGGCCTCGCCTAGTCAGTGCGCCCTAGGGCAGCTGTGGCTACTGTAGCTCATCACCACCAGCGTACGAATGTGTGAAGGGGTTTTGTAAAGCACCTTGGGGGTCTCTAAGACTCTAGAAGGCACTATATCAAATACAGGCCATTTGCCATTATAACCTTTACTCCACAATTGATTTTTTAAATTAAACAAATGATTTGACAGATACGTTGAGACATTCTTGTAACTGGTCATTATCACACGTGTAAACAACCTCAGAATAAACAACCAAGAATGCAAAAATGTCTTTGCAAAAGTTTTTGTTGTGTGACCTGTTGGGAAATTTGGGAAATTGGAGCAACAGTAAGATGGGAGGAATCCGTTTTGGTCTTGGCTGTACTGCTGTTAGATTGTCAGCCTAATTGGCAGCAATTAACTGTTAAACACAACTTTAAATGTCCCAAATTCCATTAAACTCACTTCAGTGTCACTGACTCCCTCATCTTACAGGTCATTTGGGGTCATGCCGCCCGACCAGCCTGTGAGGTGTTTCAGTGCTCGGCTGTGAAGGTTTGTGAAACTGCCTGTTTGCAAAAAGCCCACTGAAGTCTCTTTTGTGTCACTATTTCTGGTTTAACACAGCTGACTAACCTCAAACCTCTTTCGTCTTGCATCTCCGTTGTCTGAAATGTGTGCACAAAGGCGTGTCTGCAGCTCTTTTATCAGTGTTCTCATTAATAATACAGCAATCCAACCGCTGGCTAGGAATAACTACCAGGTCAGAGCTGAGTCATGATCTGAGGAGCTGTGACGTGTCACTTGAATGGCCGTTTGCTCGGCTTGTGCACTGAGATGTTGTGTTTAAAAAAAAGTGGTTAAAAGGAGAAACTTTGGTTGGAATAGAAACAATTTTGGCATTCATGAACTTAAACGGACTTATGTAAATATATGTTCAGCAGTACTAAGCCTCCATAGGTGGTTGTTGTTTTATTATTTTTGAACTAATCGACTCTTTTTATGTTAAGGCTGAACAGGATTTGTCTTTGTGATCCTGCATAATTCTACATAAACCCAAAGATGCGGCGTTGTTGCTTTTCAGCAAATGAAACCAAAATGAAACGAAAAGCCTCTTAAACACCTGGGGAGGTCTGCGACGTTCCATCGCCTTGTTTTCACTTTCCAGGTTAAATATCAGCATTATGCCACTTTAACTCATCTAAATTTCATGAATACACCATTAGCAGGATTGCACGATCGTCCATAATCTGCAATCCACCGGCACTGCATGCAAAGCCAACACGCCAGTGCTCCTGCTTTTAATTCAGAATGTGTGTGTGAATATTAGCATTTGTGATCAGAAAGAATTAAGTTCATGTTCAGGTGACACTTTTCCATCAGAGTAGTTCATTAACGTCCATCATCGTCATTCTCATCTGCCTGCAAATCTTCATTATTAATGCCGTCATTCACTCCTTCTAAGGGTTCAGAGCTCTGACAAATCTTGGAAACACTCTTATTATTATTCATACTCTTCAGGATTTATGACAGGCGTTTTCCTCCATATTTGCTTCAGACTCTTCATGTGTTTGCTGAATATTTGTATGAAATCGTTCTTCAGGACGTGAGCTCAAACATATTTTCTGCCATCTTAAGCTCACTGTTTTCACTTCTTTCCTTTTCTCTCCAGGATCAACAGTGCAGCTCTGCAGGGATGTGATAAAGTATCGTCTCCTTCCTCTGATCCTCCCCCCTCCCCCTCCCTCCATCGCAGCATCCATCCTTCACACCACCTTGTGAAGGTCCAAACAACAGAGGCAGATGAGAAAGGGAAGAAGTGTTTTCTGTAAAATGAGCCACAGTATTCTGCAGATTTTGTGGCGAGTCACACAAAAAAAACTTAAAAAAAGAGCAGCAGCCTGCTAAGATTTACGCCAAGAAGACTGAGTGCTTCCCTGGCCGGCCGAGAGGAAAAATAAAGGGTGCATAAAGCTGGAGATAAAAGTAACATTTGGAGGGAAGGTAGTTTATCTGAAATGTAAACTCAAAACTCAGCAGCAGGAGTGATTCATGGGGATCTGCAGTCCTTACTGGGCCATGGCGTGCATCAATTAATGTTTTATTGTTTAGGTAAGGAAGGGGGCTTTGTAAAACATTTAGGCTTTATCTGAAAATTACCAATGCGGGATTGGGAAAGAAAGGATTGTGATGCTGTAGCAGGGCCCTGCAACATTAATAACAGAAAATCACATTTCTAATTGACTTTGACCCCAATATTAGCAGTTTATAATCTAAAGTGATAGTTTATTTTGTCTTTTCAATTAGTAAACAAAATAAACTTTACAGTTCCATGCAAGATAATCATTGCTCCTTTGTTCTTTTTATTAGTAATTGTCTTTTTTGTTTATTTAATGTATATTTTTGTGCATGTGTTTTGCCTCTTAGTGCTATTTGAGCTGCTTAAAAAGTCCTTTTCAGGTGTGATGCCTAATCTCAGTGGTCTTTCCTGGTTAAACTACGGTATAAAGAAAACGCCCAAAACTTTACAAAAGCCTTTTAAAAAATAAACCCATGCATTAATTGCTGAGATTTAGATGTAAACTCAGACAGCAACCCTTTCCTATTGTCAGATAAAATCCAAAGTTACAAGGAGACACGTGTGACCTTAGAGTTGCAAGTTGCAGACTTTTGCACCAGTATAAGAAAACACTAGCTCCTCCATAAGAGAGCACCACAACCAGCTGATGCGTAAAGATCCTAAAGATTGACTCACTGCTCAGCTGAGCCTTTCCACCCTTCCCCCTTCACCAGGAGGCTGTGTTTGTGGGTGCGCCCCCGTGTGGTGGGTAGGAGAAGCGCGGGCGCCGCGGGTGGTTTAAAAGCTCCGACTGAGGAGGTTTTGTTCACAGATCTGAGGAGCTCCGCACCGGGAAAAGTTGAACCTTCAGCTGATCCACAGACGAGCTACAGGAGGGAGAAGCAGCAGAGATGGCAACTCAGACGGAGCTGCCCCACCTGCACCTGGCTGAGCTCACAGCAGCGCAGTTCATCGATGTCTGGAAACACTTTGACTCAGACGGTCAGTGCGCTCCTGGCAATTAAAACTGGTTTCATTTATCTAATATTACAACTATGGAGAAAAAATCTGGTGTTTTTGTTTATTGAGCCTTTATGTGAACGCCTTCTCTGGTTTAATAAATAATCGCGTGATATGAGCAGCAGCAGTAGGTTACAGTTATCTTTACCGTACTTCTGTTATAAGGAATTTTAGATTTAAGTATTTTATAAACAAACAAAATACGTCTTGCTGACGTACACATGTGTAAAGTTAAATATGATGCAAGGAAAGCAGAGGATGCAAACGAAAGATGAACAGAAGAGGGGATGGGGGTATGACAGAGTGAGTTTGTTGTTTTTGTAGAAAATCCTTCGCTGATAAATAAATGATTAACTTTTGGTTAATGCTCAAACAGGACAGTTTTTTTCACGAATTAAAGTAACTTTTTCTAATAATTTAAATTTTCTCTGACTCCATTCTGACTGATGGGGTTATAAGCACACACTGTTGGGATTTTAGTCTCTCAGTCATCTTAATTATTTCAGCTCTTTACTAAAGTAAATCTGTTTAAATCTACCTGTCAAATCAGATTACTTGAATATTTGAGAGTATTAGTATATTAATTAATAATGAATAATAATAAAATTAATTCATTGATTCTCATGTGAGGTAAAATGCTTCAAAACTACTTCTGTGCCAGATCTGGTCACAGCCAATGTGCTGCCAACATCTCTCTCTCTCTACCATTCCAGCATAACCGATTTTCATATAGCAACTTCAATAAGGATTATTTTCTGATGCCATTCAGAAGATCCCCTGACCTGTTCTGCTAAACCCCTTCCAAACCCTGAATAAACTCAGCAGCTTCTTCATCAGAAGATAGATCTTCCCCATCAGAAGCTCAGCTACTGTAAATTGCTGTTTGCACCCAGTTTTTTTCCCCCAGGTTGGTTGGTTTGGACCGTGACCAGATTGTTCCCTTTATCTGGACTAGTCCTTCATTATTTTCTGCTTCAGAATGCAAATCCTAATCATAACCACAGGGAAGACGAGATGATCACCGAAGCTGTCATGTTGTGGGGATGTTTAGGACCCATATATGCAAATTACCCAGGATGACTCGAGGCAGAAGTTGGTAAAAGTAAAAATCCTTTTATTTAGAACAAAAATGAATCCAAAATGCCAACGGGCCAAAAATCCAAAAGTCCTGGAGAACAGGACACCCAAAGCTCTCTTAGAGCACCAAAAACCTGGAGACCACAAGCTCATTAAGAGCATGAAGACCTGGAGACAAAAGCTCAAACCGAGCACGAACAAACGCTGACAAATGCACAAACATACAATGGACCGACACCAACACAGAGACAAACCAGGGCTTAAATAGACTGGGGAGATGAGAGGGAGATAATTGCAGGTGTGTGGGGAGAGGGACCAGGTGAATACAATTACTAAATCAGGGAGGAGGAAGAAATCACTGGTGGGAAAAACACACTAAATACTGAAAGGCTGTAACAAAGGAAAATGACCTAAGAGAAAAACAAAAGACCAGAAAGCATGAACCATGACTAATATACTAAGGGGAAGCTGACACTAAAGGAAAACACTATAGAAAGAAACAACAGGGGCGTGGCTAAGAGGGGGCCAGGAGAGCACAGGACCTGGGAAAGGGATGTCTGAGGGGGGAAACCTAAAGGGCAAATGGGGAACACCAGGAGACACATGAGGGCGCTAGAAGACACAAAAGGAGCACCTAGAGAGGATGGAGAAACACCAGAAGGCACATGAAGGAAGGGGCAGACGCAGACCATGACAGAAGCCCTGTTATGTAATGGGAGCTAAAGCAGCCTTTACATTGTACATAAGTGTTAGAATAATGGATGCATGGATGAGGACAGCTGCAATGAACAAATGCTCAACAGAAAGTCAGGCCAGAGATTTTACAGACTTCCAGAAGGTTTTCTGTGAACAACCCATCATCTGGGATTGGATGCTGCTTGTATTTTTACCAGAATGTGGACACTGGAAACTCAGTTCGAACAAGTTGTGAAGGAGCAACACAAACTAAGAGGACTATACAAAACCACTTGCTTTTCTTTATGGATGCTTGGTAAATGTATTTGATCTTTGCTTAAATAGTGATCATTTTCCCAGCTTGTCTGGAAATTGGAAACTCCAAAAAGTACCATCTTAATTTCTTCTGTTTTTTACAATGACTTGTTTCACATTTAAAGTAAAAAGCTGATTCCCAAGACATTCAATTAAATATCCTGTGGAGCTATGAGACAAACGGGAGTTTTTTCGGACATCGTGCTTCTCTTTGCATCTGGAGTAAAACCAGAATAAAATCATTACACAGTCAAACGTGGCGGTAGTGTGATGGTCTGGGGTTGCTTTGCTGCTTCAGGACCTGCACAACTTGCTGTAACTGAAGAAATGACAAATTCTGCTCCCTTGCAAAAAATCCTGAAGTTAATTTTCTGACCTTTGACCTTAGACAGGTCACTTATGAAAGAACGACCCCCCCCCCCCCCCCCCAAGGTGGAGGGATTTAAGAAGAGTGGGACAGTTATAACGAATGCTTGTTTGTAGTTGTTGACTCCAACAGTGTTACAGCCAGCTATAGTATCTGGTGTAGTGGTAAAACAGTTTTTCATATAAAGTCAGGTTGGTTTGGAAATGAAATAACCATTTGAAAAATGCATTTTTATTACTCAGGTTGTCTTTAGCTGAAATTAGTTCGCTGATCTGAAACACTTAAAGGCCACGTTTTAAACTATGGTTGTACTTGTGCAGCTCTGGTGAAGGACACTGATGTACAAGTTGCAGTGTTGGTTGCATAATTGAAGTCGAGTGTGAATCTTTCTGATTTGATTTGAAAAACTCCTCCAGCTGAAGAGCGACATGGCAGCATTTCTCCATATGGGAATGGGACGCTCAGTCGCACTTTTGGATCACATTAGCATTCATGTCATTTTCAGCCATTATGTGTTGGACAGCCGACTTGATTTTGAGGTGCCGTTGAGCAATCAGCAGTTGAGCTGTGTTTGAAAATGTTTAGGGACTTCATCTGCTCAGTGTGCAGTGGTGCGCAACGTGTGATGGCTCAGATCTGGATGGAAACTAGATTCTGGCAGCGAATCCCACTGAACTGATAAGTTATTTCTGTGGGCTTTACAACCTTCAGGATTAGAGCTCTCTCTCTCTCTCTCTCACACACACACACACACACACACACACACACACACACACACACACACACACACACACACACACACACACACACACACAAAACACAAAAGATGAATGTAAAGTTAATCTCCTTAATAGGATAACTAATTATTTTTATTTCTTTGTTGCATGGCTATGTTGTCAAATTTCATTTCAAATCCAGTGAGAAAGATTCCCGGGTAAATGTTATGAACGATCATACCTTTAGACAGCTGTTTGAAAGGCCTCAGTTGGGAGAAACAGAGATGATTTTCTTTAGGATTGACAGACCAACTGGCTTGTTCCAGCAAGGCATAGAAAATAAGTTGAATCTTAAATATTTCTGAGGAAATGTGCTATTGTAGCACTTCAGGTTTAACCTAATTTTTTAACAATATGAAAGTAATGAAGAAATAAAATTGGTCCTTGTCACCTGTAGATCCTCCACCAGAGGGCAGTAAAAGGTAAATGTATTTGTATAGCACCTTCTTAAGGTTCTACAACCCTCCAAGGTGCTTCACAATGCAATCAGTCATTCATCCATTCACCACACATTCACACGCTGGTGGGGATGAGCTACGATGTCGCCACAGCTGCCCTGGGGCGCATTGACCGAGGTGAGGCGGCTGAGCACTGGCGCCACTGGTCCCTCCGACCACCACCAGCAGGCAAGGTGGCATAAGCATCTTGCCCAAGGACACAACAGCAGCATTCTCGAGTTAGAACAGGGATCGAACCTGCAACCTTCTGATTAGTAGACAAATTACTAGACAACCCGCTCAACCTCCTGAGCAACTGCCGCCCCATTAGACATAAGGCTGGATTTGGCATGTTTGTGATGAAGGTGCTAAGCTTGATCCCCTCTGGAGGCTTTAAGATGAGAAGTGGGTCAGTGTGAATAGTGACAGTACTCTAAATGAAGTTAACATTTCTGGTTGAAATATCCTAAAAATTCTCCCAAAAGAACCAGCTATTATGAAACTGAAGCCAGTGTCAAAGTTTAATAAATAGCACCACTAAGCCTAGTTCATGCTTTTGCGTCAGCTCTACAAAGGAGAGTCAGTCGCACACGCACCGACAGAGACGTTTTGCTCTCGGACGTCTCCGTCTCCTGGGGAGTGTTGCAAAGCAATTCTCCACCAGGACGACAGAGGGCGTGGCGCTGTTCTAGGGTATCCTGTCATGTATCCGGTCCAAGATAGAGCATTTACTATTGTGTTGATGAAGTTTTTTGTGTTTCAGATACTTTTTAACACAGACAAATTTGTCCTTCACTTTCCTCCACCATGTCATGCACTCGCCACCTCTAAACCCACATTTCCCATCATTTCCTCAAATAAAACGATTGAGTATCTTTTTACTCACACAGTCACGGTGAATAAAACGTTCATACTTTGGGGGTTTTTCCGTGAGGTATTCTTAAAGCTGCTTCGTGTCTGCTGCGAGATATCTTCGGCTCTTTATCTTATTGACGATGCTGCTGACGCAAGTGGCCTCCTGATCAACCTCAAGCTTGCGTTCTCCGTCTCATTTGATGGATGTTAAAAAAAGTGGGCTCGACTCCGTTCGTCCTTGCGAGCCTGCTGGAGAGCCCTCGCAAAGATGGATAATGGCATTACGTGTTTCCGTACCGATGCAGACGCATAAACTAGGCCTAACACCACTTGTACACTTTAGGTTGTAGAGTTGTTTTACGACAGGAGAAATCCACTTTGTTACTGATCCCAAGTTTGCGCCTCTGTCTGCTCTGAACTTTTTCTGTTTCCCCAAGCTGGCACCACTCACAGAGCTATCCACAACAGGGAAGGTATTAACTATTCAAAAGCTTTCTGCAGAACCTCACTTTAAAAGACTCCATTGCTTTAAGTCAACTTGGCTCACTCTAAAAGTCCATGATTGAATGCGGCATCTTGTTAAGCAAATGAAAAATTGAAGGGATTGTGCACCCTGTGTTCTAGCCACGCCCACTAATGAAGGACACAACCCCCAGATTAAGAGTCAAAGCTCCTATATGCGAGAACTTGATAAAACATTTATGTTTTATTTATCTGCGTCTTACATGTCATAAGTTACAAATCCTCTAACTGGTGACAGGTGGGACTCACTTCGACGATTAAAAGGCACCACCAGATATCTTATATAATCTCTGACTTGCAGGCGAACCAGTGAAGTACTCTGTTATGAATAAATCATCCCGAGTCACATGAGTCCTACAAGGAGTTCAAATTCAGACAGAGGGACAGAACGCTCCAATAAACATCAATCTGATTTCCCACTTTCACCCTTTCAGGCAAGAAGATGCTCATTATTCTGCTTACAGTCCAGTGACACTTCACTCTGGTGGTTGGTGACTTTCTCCAGCTGCAGCACTCGTATCTTCACGGTTACTGCAGCGGCTGAAACCAGAATTACGAATTAGGATTGTTATTTTTTTAGAGATGAGAATGTTTTGGTTTGCAAAACTGTGAAAGTTTTAGACAAAATCTGGTGATTAGGAGCTGACGTCATACCAGTCAAATATGTGAATTAGTCCAGGTTTAATTTTTATCTCAGTGTTATCCTGTACACTGATTATTTCAGTTTAATCACAGGAGAACTGAGGCTTGAGACTTGAGGTTTGGCAGCTGCTCTAAAATTTAGAAGAGCCTTGGCGACCATTAATCTTAATCTTAGTTTTTAATCAAAATGTTAGGAGTCAATAAAGCTTGAAGCCACTTTAGAGCCTCATAGCACAATTTGTGCCAAACTAATTTAGTTCCTCTGGTGCACTGCAGGGAACGGCTTTATAGAAGGGAAGGAGCTGGAGAACTTCTTCACAGAGCTGGAGACTGCCAGGCGAGGCGCAGGGGTGGTGAGTGTGTGCATGTGTGTTTTCTGCAGAACTTCAACAAGAACTTGCAAACATGTAGAAATGTTTACTGAAGTTGCTGAAATGCTGTAAAAGAGACACTTTAATCAAGAGTTAAATTAAAGGTTCAGGCAGCTAATAAAAAATAAAAGTAACAGATAATTGAAAAATGCATTGATGACTGCAATGGTATAAATAATGATTAAAACTGATTACCAAATGGTTGATATTTGTAGAAATATTGAAAACTAGGCATTTTTAGACAATAGACTTTGTGAAAGACATTTTGTTGAACGAAAATCCCTGAAATTTGAATTTACCGGCTTACAGTCACAAAATGTGTGGCCCTTTATGCCTAATTAGGCCCTAAATTGTGAAAAATATGCTATCAAACTGTACTTGAGATAGAAATGTAGATGTCAACATTATGCGTGAGGGTGAATAATGCAACCTTGTTTGATGCACAGCTAAACCAGTGGATGGAAACTCCTTTTTAAAATAGTTCTTATATTTGAAAGCTCACTCTTTAACAGACAGAAAAGCCAGAAAATTGATACAAAAAAGAATCTAAGTCGATCTACGTTCCTACCCTCACCTGTGGTCACGAGCTTCGGGTAGTGACTGAAAGAATGAGATCACGGATACAAATGGCTGAAATGAGTTTTCTCCGCAGGGTGGCTGGGCTCTCCCTTAGAAGGGTGAGAAGCTCGGTCATCTGGGAGGGCCTCAGAGTAGATCCACTGCTCCTCCACATTGAGAGGAGCCAGTTGAGGTGGCTCGGGCATTTGGTCAGGATGCCTCCTGGACACCTCCCTGGTGAGATTTTCTGGGTACGTCCAACTGGGAGGAGACCCAAGGGATGACCCAGGACACGATGGAGAGATTATGTCTCTCGGCTGGCCTGGGAATGCCTTGTGATTCTCCCAGAAGAGCTAGCCCAAGTAGCTGGGGAGAGGGAAGTCTGGGCATCTTGGCTTAGGCTGCTACCCCCACGACCCGACTCTTGATAAGCAGCTGAAAAGGGGCAGATTGATGGATGGAAAAGAAAAATCAAGTATAAGATTTAAATGATCAGCCTTGATACAAACCTACGGATGAGAGAGGGCTAGTCCCGTTAGTCATCATCACATGCTGGTGAAATGACATCTCTGCATTTGACTCATCCCCACGGGGAGCGGTGAGCTGCATCAATGGTTGCGCTCGGGAACTATTGGGTGGTTTATCCCCCCAATGCAATCCCTTAAGGCTGAGCATCAAGCCATCAGGGAGGCAGTGGGTCCCATTTTTAAAGTCTTTATATGACCCAACCAGGATTTGAACCTTGATCTCCCAGTCTCAGGGAGGACACTCGTACCACTAGGCCACTGAGAAGGTTACTCAACAGAAAACATGTATGGATGATGATGAATTTTGCACTGATGTTCATTTAAAAGTAGTCATACTTAGCACAATGCAGCTATTCATGATGCACTAAACTGAAACAACAGGCTGAGTTTTTTTTATTTTTTACCTTTTTAAAATGAAGTTTATCATTAATGTGTTTTTTCTCAGCATCGGTGTCCTGATGTTCGGTTAGTATCTAGGCCTTTTATGATTAATTGATCATAGTGAATATCTTGCAATAAGATTATTCTATTTCCTGCCGTCATTCCAGGATCCCTCACACGCTTGTTTTAAGGAAAAGTTGAAGGAGTTCATGGCCAACTTTGACAAGAATTCTGACGGCAGAATCGAGATGTCAGAGGTGAGAACAAATCATCGTTTAAAGTCCAGCAATTAAAGTTTAGTCAAACTTTCATCTAACAGCACTTTTTTACTGTTATTTTGAAGCTGGCCCAGATTCTCCCCACAGAGGAGAACTTCCTGCTTTGTTTCAGAGAATTTGTTCGATCCAGTTCTGAATTCATGGACGTAAGTTTGTAAATCTTCACATTTCTGCTCCTCACCTCCGTTGTAATCATGCATCTTGTGTTCCTGTACGAGTCTTTACATTCGATTTGCTCGGCCATGCCTTCGTGCGCGTCAGAAGTCAGTTAAAAGACTGTCTTCCTGTATGTCCTGTATGAATATCTGATAAACATTACTGAGCTGTGAAATTTCCTCCCAGATGCCTCAAGACAGTGCTGCCTTCACAGTGGGTCCCGTGGGACTCGTGCACAGCTGTCCGATAATTTTTTTTTTTGCTTTTGTTGCCAAGTTAGGATGTCTGTTTTCGTGTCATGGCAGCACAGCAGGGACACACATGGTTAATTTAGAGTGCTTTTACATTTATTCATTTAGGTCACAGTCATCTCTGACATCAAAAATGACAAAACTGGTATAACATTACATCACGGAAAAGCCTGAAACATGCACACAGTCTCTTACTCCACTTTAGGAGAGGTTTAGGCCGTTTCGGGAGGTAAATCTATTCTCAGAAAGCCATGCATTATAAATGCACCGCAGCTTTCTGCAGTCGGCCAGGCTTTTTCCGTTGGCGATAAGAGGTTTAACTAATTCTCTATTTGCGCAAAGTCAGATGGAACTGGGATTTCATTTCACAGTAGTTGACATAATTGTACGAGTTATTTTACTATTGTTGTGGCTAAAGAGGATCATTCTTCTCCTGCAGGCCTGGCGGCGGTACGACACTGATCGTAGTGGATACATCGAGTCCAACGAGCTGAAGGTATTAATCACACCAGCCTCTTTACACATTTCTTTTGTGATCGTTTAATGCAGCATTTAGATCTCACTTCCTATAAGAACCGCCTGTTTTTTTCCCACTCATTTCAAACCCAGGATGACTAGATTTTGTGTCAAATTAGAAAAATTATGCAAATCAACAACAACAACAAAATCAAGCAAATTGTTTTTCTTTTCACATTATTATTGAGTCCATAACTTTAGAGGACAGATTAAAGGTCAGAGGTCATGAGCCTCTCCTTAGCCTTGTTGTCAGGATTAAGATGATTAGGATGTTGCTCAATCTTCTGCCTGAAGGAAAAAAAAGGTGGCTAGTTCTTGTTCTACTGATATTTACTTTGCTTTGTCTGCTGGTGTAAACGTCTCGTGAACTAGACAGTCTTATTAAAAGGATTAATTTCTCTATTTCTACTCTATAAATAAACACCACAGAAAACATGTCCTCCAGAATCACTAACTTCATAAATTCTACCATGGCTGCAGTCGATGATGGCTTTATTTAAGCAGCCTTGTGTCTGACTGCTCTTTATGCGCTCCTCAGGGTTTCCTGTCAGACCTGCTGAAGAAGGCCAACAGAAACTACGACGACAAGAAGCTCATCGAGTACACGCAGACAATCGTGAGTGTCGTAGCATTTATTTTACAGCGTTGCGGCTCATCTCTCGCTCCAGTAATAGTTTCTAAAATATCAAATGTAATGTACTCTAGGGATGAAAGCTGTTGCCTCAGGGAACTCTCACTTCCATATAACGTAAACACATCCAGTAGTGACAATATTTGCCTGAATGCTTCAGATCTCATCACTTAGCTAATGTGCACATGCATACATGTAACCAAATCTAAAGGATTGCATATTAATCATCTCTATAATGCACCTGTAGAGCCAGGATGGCACTTTAGTTGCCGTCAGGTTTGGCCGTCCATCTGTGAGCTGCGGTTTAATCTCACATGTGGTGCATGTGTGCAGTAGGTCATCGTTTCCTTTAAGCTTCTCACACAAAGTCCCTTTTGATTATCTTTCTGTGCAGCTCAGGATGTTTGACCTTAATGGTGACGGTAAGCTGGGTCTCTCTGAGATGGCCAGGTGAGTGTTTTTTAAGTTTAAGTTGTCCTTTTGAAGAACACCGCTGCGATAACAGCTGATGAATCTGTGTTGAAACGCAGGCTGCTTCCAGTTCAGGAGAATTTTCTGCTTAAGTTTGAGGTAAGATTGAGCTGAACTCATGCTCCAATAAGTAAATAATCACCCCAATATTCTGACTATAATGTCATCTCAGTGAACATTTGCATAAATGTTCAGGTGATTTCATAAGTTTGGGAACAGAATCGGACTCATTTAAAATATATATAAGTGTTATTTTTAAATAAAATTCTAACTAATAAGGATTTTATTTGAATAAAATTCAATTTGTTCAGAAACTCAGCTTTAAATCCCACTTGGTTACCTTTTTCCTTGTGCCACCTTCTTTCTGCCTCAGCTGCAGAATAAAAGCCAGTATAGACTGTGTCACTAATTACAGCAGTTTATTTCCCATCAGTGGCTCTATGTGGCCCCTCAGGTCATCCTCTGCTGTTTTGGCTCTTACCTTTTTAAGAGCCACCTATTTAAGAGCTCATTTATAATTCTCAGATTAGTTTTTGCTTGTTTGGAAGACGGCCAGGTTGTAAAAAGCACTGGAGCTGTGCCAGCGGACAACAAAGAGATTAAACTGTGGCGACCGCCTGCTGGATTCTGTTAAAGAAGGAAGAATAACACAGAAATTGACAAGACACAATAAAAAAAATGAAAATATCTAGCAGCCAAATTTTTGTTGAAACATCCGGGGTCTCTGCTCTCAATATTTACAGATTTCTGTCCCCTCAGCACACCGTGCACGGTGCAGATCTAAGATAACGACGCTGGAGATTAAACTCACTACCTGCATTACAATTAAAAAATGCTTTACTTATTCATGTTGGAAGTCGTGGTTTTAATGAGGCAGTAACTTTAATATCAGGCTATTTTTCATATTGAGGAAGGGACAAAAGAGCTCACATTAAGACTCTTTCAGCCTTTTATTCCATCCTTAATCTCATTTCTGCACGGACCTTGTTACTAATCAACGTATTCACTTTATTAAATATGTCTGACAACAGACCAGCCTTTCCTGCTGAATGAGTAGCTTCCTATAGCTTGATTCAAATGTAATTTTGTCTAATTTCACTGGTCATTTGAATCCGTTCTGCTAAACAAAAGAAGCTGCTGACAACAGCAAACAATCAGCACTGAGTTCTGGCTCAGATGACTTTATTAACTGCTCCTATCTATAAGCTGCGCTCTCGATCGGCGAGCTTGATGGAAAAATGATGCACGGGCAAACACGCGTTTGATCTTTCAGCGGCGGCTGTGTAAAACCGAGTCGTTTGCTGTTTTTTGTTGGATGGCTGCTCGGAGCAGATGATAATAACTAAACATGATCATTTTATGTGTTTAAATTAAATAAATAACTTTGACAGAACAAAAAAGCATGTTGTTGTTTACCGGTTTTCCACATAAATATCCAACTATCTTGTCCCATTTGTGCATGCTGGCTTGTGAGAGCAGATCAACAATTCCTCTGGACAGAGGATTAGTCAATCTGATGTGGATTAACTCAACTCTAGTCCCGGTTATGATAATCTGCATGGATTAAAATCAGTTGCGATTCTTGGGGCTTTTACCGCTCTCTAGAAATATCAGTTTTGAATAATTTTTACTTTTCTCCTTGTTTTGTGCAGGGCATCCGACTCACCGTGAAAGAGTTCGACTCTCTCTTCACTTTCTACGATAAGGTGAAAATAAAAGTCTGTGCCTTTATAATAAATCACCCCAGTCTCCCTGTGGTTTCAGTGCATGAGCTCAGATATGTGTGTTTGCATCCTTACGATGGACATCTGTTCTAGAAAACCAGTAGGGATCCAGTCTGTAAGCAGACTCATGGTGGGGGTTGTGGAAAACTCAGAGGATCAAGCTGTTTGGATTTATCCTGCTGGGAAATTTTCGTAGCAATCTATCTAATGGATGTTGACATCAGTCTGGACTAACGTAAAGGCTCGCTGATGGATGTTCCTGCTCTGTATGTTACAGATTTCTAGCTGTTCTAAAGCAGTCCTGATCAACAAGAGTCTTTCTTTGGATGTTGACAGATTTTTACTGGGTTTCTGTTTAGTTCTGATCATTTTCAGGATTGTTTTGTTTGTTTAGCTAAGGGGTGTCCACGCCTTTTTAACCCTTCCACTGTCCTCATGGGTGATCTCGCCAGGAAAGTTGACCATAGAGCAGCAGGGTTGATGGTTTATCCCTTGAGGTCCACGTGACAGGGGTGAGGAGTGAGCACCATCTCACCCCTGCCAAGTGGACTTCAAGGGATGAACCATCAACGCTGTTCAATAGTCAACTTTCCTGGCGGGGACACGCATGAGGACAGTGGAAGGGCTAGACAAGGGCAAAAATCCTCATGGGTTAAAATTTTTTATATTTTTTAACTGACAAATGCAATCATGATCTGATGGTGATTTTTTTAAAATGAACTCCTCAGAATAGGTAGAAAATAGGCACATTAGTACACATCTGAAAACAAAAAAATCATAGGGAAAAACTACTTCAACAGCTCGCTAGAGAGACTAATTATATCATTCACTTTGTAAATCATTTAGACTTAAAAATGCTCTTTAACTCAAATGGATGAATTATTTTTGAGACTACACGACTGAATCAAATTTAAATATGATTTTAGACACTTTACCAGCAAACTGTCACAAAAACATGACCTGATCCTATTTATTTATGCAAGAAGGTTTAATTCAGTTTGACACGTGCCATGGTCCAGGGTACCTGGACGCCTCCCTGGTGAGGTTTTCTGGCCATGTCCAACTAGGAGGAGACCCAAGGGAAGACCCAGGGCACGCTGGAGGGACTATGTTTCTCAGCTGGCCAGGGAATGCCTTGGGATTCCCCCGGAGGAGCTTAGGCTGCTGCCCCTGCGACTCGACTCCGGATAAGTGGTTGAAAAAAGGACGGTTGGATGGACATACCATGGTATTTAAACTGCAACAAAGTGATTTCCAACGAGTCAATGAAAGGATGATGCACCTCTCAGATCATGTTTAAAGTTTTTGTTGGATTTTTCACCCCCATGTTATCTCCAAGACACTTCTCCATACACTGCCTGGCCAAACAAAAGTTGCCACCTGTAGCGGTCACAGTTTATAGTGTGACAACTGCAAATGTAAGATGTGATGATTCCACATAAATAATAAATGTCAATCTGATTGGTCTTTGAATGTTTATCAGAAGATTATAGTTACTTTTACTTGTTCAGGGACCATAAACACACTTCATATTAATTCAGACAGAGTCAGGCATACAGTATAGTTAAAAAGGAATTTTATTATTTTCTAAACTAACGATTATACATGACAAAATGTGGATATGAGAGTGGAAATGTGGTGATGAAATTTGATGTGTAGGTGGTGTGATGCAGGTTAGATGTTTATTAGAATCTTTGTATCTGAAAGAAATTGTGAAATCTGGGTGTAAAAGATTTTGTTGTCTGCTATAAACTAGAGAGTTGATTATTAATAAAACAGCATCAGACACAACCTGTTGTGTCTACAAACCCTGGCGGAGACCTCCAGCAGATCCGGACTGTCAGAAGTCGGGTGGACTTCATGGCACCTGAAGCCAATGGATTAACTTCGATGCGACCTGTCCTGTCTTGAGATGTTTCTAGGTCACAACAGGAGCTGAAATGCTTGTTTGCGTCCAGCGTGGATGTGGTTCTTAGGGAGCCGTCTGGCTGTGTCAGCTTGCAGCGTGCAAACAGGTTCACCGTACGTCAAAAGAGATACCTCAAGGATATTTGTTCCGAATTGGCCGGATTGGAACTCTGCTCGAAATTGTTACTCGGGAAGTAATTCCTGTTTTATTAAACCACAATGTTATGATATCTGGCGTATTCTGGTGAATCAGAATTTGACAAGTTTCTGGGTATTTACCAACATCCCTCAGAAAGCCACTCCTTCCTTCAGATAGAAGATTCTTAATTCTGTGAATAAAGAATCTTTAAACGTTATGTGGGGTGAGCCTTAATCTTAATTTGTATCTTATGAAGATGTGTATGAGTGTAGATAATGATTAACTTGTTAAATCAACCACATACTGATCATAAGATCTGCAATGGATCATTGTAAGAGCAACATTCATTTCAACTTCATTAATTTAAGCAAATATTATTCAAACATTTCATTTAAACATCTTGTTCATTCATCACATATGATGTGATGTTGTTTTGGAACTGCGCTGCATGGGTGGCTGCATTTTGGAGTAGCTCTGTTGACTATATGTAAGTTTTGCCATTTTTTCTAGTTTCTCAAGAAAAACTGTATTTTTTGGGCATTTTACTTTTCTGTTTCTGGTGTTGTGAAGCTTAGAGGATTTTTACTGCTATTTTTTAACTTTTTTCACTTTTTGAGCATTTGTTATAATGCGTAGCCATGGCAACAAGCTGATTTACAATCGGGAGCAGCTGATTAACATTTGGAAGGCTGAAATAATACCTCAACTGAAGCCACAAATCCCAAATTAGCTAAAACGCAAGAAGCGTGGGTGCAGAGCGGGAGTAAAACTGAGACAGAGAAAGAGGAAATTTAAACCATCTCTTCCATCGATCATAATGGGCAATGTGAGATCACTGGCCAACAAGATTTAGGAACTCCAAGCCCTTTCAAGGACTCAGCCAGAGTATTGGCAGTGCAGTGTTATGTGTTACACTGAGAAGTGGCTGCAGGACCATATCCACGTTTCCAGCGTTTCTCTGCCAGGATTGCTGACTGTACAAGCAGACAGAGATCTGAAGAGGAGCGCGAAAAGAAAAGGAGGTGGAGTGGCAGTGCTTGTCAACAACAGATGGTGCCATCCAGGTCATGTTTCAGTGAAATGTTGTCTCTGCAGCCCAGATGTTGAACTCTTGGCAGTAAGTTGTCACCCATATTATTTGCCAAGAGAGTTCACTGGTGTTGTCTTGGCAACCGTTGATATTCCACCTTCAGCCATTGCTGAAAGTGCATGTTATGCCATCAGTTCCGTTGTCGCTAAGCTTCAAACCCAGCACCCCAATGCATTTGTGGCTATATCTGGTGATTTTAATCATGCCTCGCTCTCTGCTGTACTTCCAACATTTCTACAGTTTGTCAGCTACTCCACCAGAAAAAACAAGATATTGGATTTGTGTTATGCAAATGTAAAGAATGCATACATGTCCAAAACAAGACCTCCTCTGGGGCAATCAGATCACAATCTTGTTTTTCTCTGCTCAGAATACAAACCAGTTGTTCAGAGGCAACCTGTGACAAGAAGAACTGTGAGAAAATGGTCACAGGACACTGACGAAGCCCTGCAGGGTTGTTTTGAGACCACAGATTGGATGACCCTCTGCCAAGGAAATGAAGAGGACATCAATGCCATGACTGGATGTGTCACTGACTATATAAACTTCTGAGTGGATAACATCATACCCACCAGAACAGTGAGATGCTTCGCTAATAACAAACCCTGGATCACCAGTGAACTGAAGAATCTGCTAAATGAGAAAAAAGGAGCCTTCAAGGAGGGAGACATGGAATTATTGAGGAGTATACAGAAGCAACTGAAGATCAAGATCAGAGACAGCAAGGAGGCATACAGGAAGAAGCTGGAGAACAAACTACAGAGGAACACTATCAGAGATGTCTGGTCAGGGATGAAGAAGATCACAGGTTTCAAGCAAAGGAAAGATTGCACAGATGGCAGCCTGGACACAGCCAATGAACTGAACAAGTTCTTCAATAGGTTCAGTTCAGGAACAAACCCAGCATCCTCCTCGCCTGTCCCCAACCAATCAGACATCCCATCCTCCTCTGATCCAACATTTTCCTGTCACACGCCAGCTCTTTAGTCCTCTAACACAGTCATGGACTCTTCTGGTTCTATAAATCTGTCTTCAACCAAGTCAGGAGATGCTGCTGCCCCATTTACCTCCCCCTCCCATCTATCTGTCTCTAGAAGTCAGGTGAAGAGGCAACTGGAGAGACTGAACAGGAACAAGGCTGCAGGTCCAGATGGTGTCAGCCCCAGGGTACTGAAGGCCTGTGCAGAGCAGCTCTGTGGGATTCTGCAGCACCTCTTCAACCTCAGCCTGGCCCAGGAGAAGGTTCCAGTCCTGTGGAAGACATCCTGCATTGTTCCAGTTCCAAAGAAAACTCGCCCATCAGTCAATGACGACTACAGACCGGTTGCCCTGACATATCCACATCATGAAGGTCCTGGAGAGACTCCTGTTGGTCCACCTGAATAAGCAAACTAGAACATATCAGGACCCACTGCAGTTTGCTTATCGCCATGGAGTTGGAGTTGAAGATGCCATCAACCAGCTGCTTCAACCAATCCACTGTCATCTGGACAAAGCAGGCAGCACTGTGAGGGCCATGTTCTTTGATTTCTCCAGTGCATTTAACACAATCCAGCCTGATGTACTTCGCCAGAAACTCCAGAAGACACAGGTGGGAGCCACAACTATCGCCTGGACTAAAGACTACCTGACAAACAGACCACAGTTTGTGAGGCTGAAGAACTGCACATCAAACCAGGCGATCAGTAACACTGGAGCACCACAGGGGACTGTACTCTCACCATTCCTTTTCACCCTGTACACCTCAGACTTCCAGTACAAATCAGAGACCTGTCATCTACAGAAATACTCAGATGACTCTGCAGTTGTCGGGTGTATCAGAGATGGACAGGAAGCTGAGTATAGAGAGCTGGTGGAGCACTTTGTGGCATGGTGTGGAAACACTCATCTGACCTTGAATGTGAACAAAACAAAGGAGATGATTTTAGACTTCAGAAGAAACAGGGTGGAGTCAAACACTGTTTCCATCATGGGAGAAGAAGTGGAGGTGGCTGAGGAATACAAAGACCTTGGCGTTCACCTGGACAACAGACTGGACTGGAGAAAGAACAGCGAAGCCTTTTACAAGAAGGGACACAGCTGACTGCACTTCTTGAGGATGCTTAGGTCCTTCAATGTCTGTAGCAAGATGTTGCAGATCTTCTACAAGTCTGTTGTTGAGAGTGTAATCTCTTCAGCCATCGTCTGTTTATGTTTATGTTTATGTATTTAGCAGACGCTTTTGTCCAAAGCGACTTACAAGTGATAATCGGCATTTTGCCCTTGAGGCTAACAACAATAGTAACAACAACAAATTGACATCAGTCATGGAGAGGAGGGAACAAGGAGTGGACAGTAGAGAGGGGGGACAGGTGCAGGCAAGGTGCTAGTTAAGAAGATGCTCTCTGAAGAGCAGGGTCTTCAGGAGTTTCTTGAAAATAGAAAAGGAAGCCGCAGTTCTGGTAGTGTTAGGAAGGTCATTCCACATTTGTGGAACGATGCATGAGAAAAGTCTGGATTGTCCTGAGCGTGGTGTAGGCACTGCTAGCCGACAATCCTGTGATGACCGGAGCGGCCGGGCCGAGACGTAAGCCTTTGCAAGAGGATTCAGGTAGATGGGAGCCGTACCGTCTCGGACTTTGTATGCTAGTGTTAGCAATTTGAATTTGATGCGTGCTGCTAGCGGTAGCTGTTGGGGTAAAAGCTTCAGAAGCAGGGACCTGAAAAGGCTCAACAGCCTAATAAAAAAGACTGGTTCTAATTCCATTTTTGGTTATTTTTAAAACACAGGAAAGGTTTCTCTTTACCTTGCTGAAAGTTTTGTTCACTGACTGCAAAACATCTTCAGAACTGATGCGTCAGCTCTGAAGATGTTTTGCAGTCGGCAAACAAAACTGTCAGCAAGGTAAAGAGAAGCATTTCCTGTGTTTTAAAAAGAACCAAAACGGGAATTTGAAGCCAAACACAGAAAGGGCGTACCAAAGAAGGGTGGTTCTGTTCTGGGGACGACTGTGGAACCACTGGAGGAGATAATGCAAAGAAGGATTCTCCAGAGAATCAAGAAAATTATGGACAACCCTGATCATTCTCTTCACAAGACTGTCTGACAACGGAAGAGTGTCTTCAGTCAGAGGCTTCTTCAGTTTTGCTGCAACACTGACCGCTACTGGAGATCCTTCCTGCCAACAGCCATTGTAATATACAACAACTCTTTTACAACTTGATTATTATTATTATTCTGAGCTACTGCAGCAAACAATTTCCCTCTGGGATTAACAAAGTATTTTTGAATTGAATTGATTATTTAACTTATGAGTTGTAAAAGTTCACTTTTTATTCAGAGTGAGGTATCCAGCAGTCTGAGATAAGGGAGGAAAGGGCTTTTGTGGGAGACCTTGGCAGTTTATTAATGTCTGCGTTGAAGAATAAGTGAGCAAAAGGTTGATTTGTGCGTCTGAATCCTCCAGCTGGCGTAACCTTGACTTTGCAGCTCTGGTGTGCATGAAAGGTTACTGTGTCAATTTGATGGTGAAAATTGACCCTTTTTATCCATTACACACCAAACAAAAGGTCACACTCCAATATTCCATTGGACCGCCTTTAGCTTTGATTACAGCACACACAAAGTCCAAAGAAAGCCTTTACAAAAGACTTTATTCTTTCTATATATTGTCTGTTGTATCTGTAGCAATTAATTCATATTAATTATGATCAATAAGATGTGATATTCCATATAAATATGAAATATCAATCTAATTGATCTTTGAATGTTTAATCAGAAGATTCTATGGTTCTTTGCTTATTCAGGGACCATAAACACACTTTGTATTAATTCAGACTGAGTCAGTATATAGTTTATAAAATGAATTTAATTATTCTTCCTAAACTAATGATACATGACAAGATATGAATAATGAGATGTGGTGTGGTGTATGTGAGGTGTTGAATGTTTACAAGAAGGGAAGTTAGATGTTGTAGCACCCGTTCTTTGTAGCTGAGAGAAATAGTGAAATCTGTGTGTAAAATATTTTGTTGTTTGTTATGAACTAGAGAGTTAGTTATCGATAAAAACCTCATCAGACTCCGGTATGCAGGCTTACGATACCCTTGTATGAGTTGCTCCCGGCGGTCTGGAGGTTTGCGGTCAGAGTGGTGAGGTCACCAGACGTCGAAACCACAATACTCAGAGATTGGTAGCTTCCTCTGAGTTCAGCTTCCCCGGCCATGAGATGCAACCCGGGGTCTGCAGATTAGGTGTGAAGTAGCTCTTAAAAGAGCTGTTGTGTCTGTAATCACTTGCAGCATCGCAGAAAGGTTTAAGGTCAAAAGAGATTGTTTCAAAAGATGCTTCTTTCCCGATTTGGCCGAATTGGGGCTCAACTGGAAACTGAATTAATCGAGAAGTAAATCCTGTTTTAATAAACGACTTTGTTATGATTTCTGGCCAAGTTTGACAAATCGTAATTTGACACGTTTCTGATTATTTACCAACATCCCTCAGAAAGCCACACCTTCTTTCAGATACAAAATCCCTTAATATGTATCTTATTGTAATGTGTACAAGTGTTAAAGTTAAAGTCCCATCAGTTGTCACACACACTACTGTTTGTGCGAAATTTGTTCTCCGCATTTGACCCATCCCCTGGGGGAGTGGTGAGCTGCAGACACAGCTGCGCTCGGGAACCATTTGGTGGTTTAACCCCCCAATCCAACCCCTTAATGAGTGTCAAGCAGGGAGGCATTGGGTCCCATTTTTTCAAAGTCTTTGGTATGACCCGACCAGGAATTGAACCCTGATCTCCCAGTCTCAGGGCGGACACTCTACCACTAGGCCACTGAGCTGGCAAAGTGTAAACAATGATTAACTTGTTAAATCAAACACATAGTGATTGGTGACATAAATGGATCATTGCAAGAACAATATTCATTTCAAATTCATTGATTTAAGCACAGGTTATTGTTCATTCATCACATATGAAAACTGTAAGCTTATGAGTTGTAAAAGTCATGGAGTCTTCGCTTGTTCAGAGTAAAGAATGTTGACGTGTGGCATTCATGCAGAGAGTGTAGGACCTTTGGAGAGTAGGAGAATGTTTGTATGAATGTTTTGTCTTCATGGAATATCAACACTACGATCTACGTCCCAATCCTCACCTATGGTCATGAGCTTTGGGTAATGACCGAAAGAACGAGATCGCGGATACAAGCGGCCGAAATGAGTTTCCTCCGTAGGGTGGCCGGGCTCAGCCTTAGAGATAGGGTGAGGAGCTCGGACATTCGGGAGGGACTCGGAGTAGAACCGCTGCTCCTCCGGATCGAAAGGAGCCAGTTGAGGTGGTTTGGGCATCTGGTCAGGATGCCTCCTGGACGCCTCCCCGGGGAGGTGTTTCGGGCATGTCCTGCCGGCAGAAGGCCCCCGGGTCGACCCAGGACACGTTGGAGAGGTTACATCTCCAATCTGGTCCGGGAACGCCTTGGGGTCCTGCCGGAGGAGCTGGTGGACAAGGCCGGGGAGAGGACGGCCTGGAGCTCCCTAGTTGGGATGCTGCCCCCGCGACCCGGACCCGGATAAGCGGAGGAAGACGAAGACGACGACGACGACGGAATATCAACACACGCTGAACAGAACCTTCTGCTTCTGGAAGGCCAAATAGAAAGTGGATTTATGCTGTAGATGAAAGGTTATTATGTTAATCAATATATAGGTGAAAATTGACCCTGTTGAATGTTCTATATCTTTCCAGTATTTAATGTTTTTTCTTGCTTTTTATTGATTAATTTGTTTGTTTATTTATTTAAATAAGTAACGGGTTTAGGTTTAGCTACTGCTGGGACAGCAATAGCTCAAGAGGTAGAGCGGGTCGTCTAGTAATTGGACGGTTGCAGGTTCGATCCCGGCTCCAATTACAGAATGCTGTTGTGTCCTTGGGCAATACATTTAACCTGCTTGCCTGCTGGTGGTGGTCGGAGGGATCGGTGGTGCCTGTGTTTGGCAGGCCTCGCCTCTGTCAGCTACGTCGTAGCTCATCACCACCAGTGTGTGAATGGGTGTGTAACGGAATCAAAGTGATGTAACTAACCAAAGTTGTATTTTAATACACTGTTAGTAGTTCACTTTTATAAACAGAAGAATAGGCTGTTTTTATCATCAGGGAGTTTAATTAAACACTCTGTATTGACTTTGAGACAATAAAAGAGAGAGAGATGGGATAGTTTGAGAATCTTTAATTTCTGAATTATAAATTCTAAACAATCTACCAGGACTACTCTGTGATGGATGAGAATGGATTCGGATGTTGTGTTGGTGCGTGTGTGTGTGTGTGTGGGTCTGGTTCAGATTCTCTAGGATGACGTAATCGAATCTGGTCGTCTTTGTTATGACTAGATATCACGAGGCTTATAAAGTGATGACATGAGCCGCTATTTTGCCGTGTACGTACCCAGTGGGGTCTCCCAAGTAGATCAGGAATTGCCAGGTCTGGAAACCTCGGATGTACGATGGAGCTGTCGGTGCAGCGGTCACAACGTTTCAAAACCCGTCTGGAGGGTCGGCCCGGTACGATTCAGCAGCGTCAGCAGTTGCTCTTATTTTGAAAGGACGTCGTCTTGTTGTTAAACGACGAAAATCTCCCGTTTCACAGTTCTTAGTTTAAAGAAAACGCATCCGGCCAGGCTGCGCTTGTCTTTAGGATGATGGTGAATAGAACTGAAGTCAAAATGGAACTGACTTAAAATGGCGTTGCCTTGTTTTATATCTCTGACTTGTTGATAAGTTTCAGTAAAGTAGATTGGACACTTGAAGTCAACACCAGATTCTCCTGCGGCAGCCGAAAGCTCTGATTGGTTGGAACAATGTGTCATGCGTTTCTATGGAGATGAGGATCAGTATGTCTGCACCGTAGTCCTGGTTTCATTAAACATAATTCATGACATATTTATTTCACAGATCATTCACTTGATTATTGTTGATCAACATCTGTTTTGCTTAATAATTTTAATCACAAATAAAGTACTTTGATTAAGTAAAGTTTCTTCTTCTCCTTCGGACTCTTCTCCTGGAATGTAAACAGTCTGAGGAACAACCCGACCTTGGTTTTTCTACACGGTGTTATTGTGCCCAGGGGCCAGCTGTATGGAGTTGAAAACCATGAACTTCATAACCTTACAGGTGGATGACTGTGTTGTGAAGCACCTTGGGGGGTTTGTAGAACCCTAAGAAGGTGCTAAACAAATACAGGTCAGGTTATTGCTCATTTGAAGAACTACTGATCGGGTTCACTTTCATAGATTACCAGAGAATCTCACTCTTTCTAAGCAAACTAGTTGTCATTTCTGAATGACTTCCAATAACTTTTTATGAAACTATTGGATGAACTAGCTCCTTGCTCCTTTGATGACCATCTCCCTGCAGTGTCATTACCACCATATTTAGCAAAAGTCAATATTCCACCCTCTCTCTTCAGGACGGTAACGGTTACATCGATGAACAGGAGCTGGATGCTCTGCTGAAGGACCTCTGTGACAAGAAAAAAATGGTAAGGAATCATTCACCTATTGATTGATTAGTTCAGTTACTTCCTTGCAAGCCAAATATAGCAGCGAGTGTCGTCAGAGTCACGTTGCTTCATTTCTGGCAGGACGTGGACTCAACCGGGCTGGTGGACTACAAGAAGAGCATCATGGCCCTGTCTGATGGAGGGAAACTGTACCGCACTGAGATGGGGATCGTCCTCTGCCAGGACTCCATGCTGTGACCCCGCTTGCCTAGGACCTTTCCATCCTCCCGCACTGCTCCCTCCTTCCTACCTCTTAATATAACCTGGTGCATGCACGACCCCCCCCCCCCCCCCCCCCCCCAACCTCACTACACCTACTTAGAATGACGACAAAAGTGCTCATGAAAGCACAAAGTAAACCGCTGGTCCTGCTGTTTTAACTCTGCATCCTTCTGATGTTTTTTTTAAACATGTGATGAATGAGAATTAAAAAAAACTATTGTGTATTTATTTGTATTTCTGTTTTAAACATGCATTTGTATCTTTAATCACACTCTATCCTTGATTTTGAACACAAAGATCTGCAAAGGTTCTGTTGCATCTCTGTTTGTTTCAGTTTATTATCAGTTGTTTGATTTCAGGAGGCTTGTACTGTTCAATTAAAGCTATTATTGAGAGAACAAATAAATAAATATAACATGACTACCCCTGTCCTGATTTCTTTGATTTTATTTTTTACTGAAATGTTAAAGATACAGATGCTGCTGCAGAGAAAGGCTGGTTTTGGTGTGAAAGTGAAACACTATAAAACACTCTCCTCTCAGCAGAGAAAGAAGATTACATCGCCTGTACAGATGACACACACACACACACACACACCTACACACACACACACACACACAAAAGTACTCTACCTTCACTTTCTAATCTGATAACAGAAGCTGGGATGTAGAGAGAGCTTGCGCTGCTCTCCATCTTTTATAGTGGGTGGGTGGGGTGGCTGTTTTTTAGAGAAAGTGAACAAAAAAGGCCACTTGAGTGAATAAACAGCAAAAATAGAAATAATATAACATGATAAGTAAACACAAGGATTTAAACTTAAAAGATTTAATCTTATTTTTATATGGTTTGGTGAAAATCTCAAATCAAAAGTGCTATTCTGGCTGTCTCCAAAACTGTCCCCACCCCACAGAAATGTGAGCATCATGGAACAGTCGACGTTCCATCAATTAATCAGCAGCACTTTCATATTTAATTATCACTATCTTTAAAGCACACCCCTTTACGCACGCCATCGCTGCACTCGCACACGGGCTCGCTCGCAACTCCTTAAAGCAAATGTTCAATTTCACACACATTTGGACACACACACACATTCATACAGCAAATACACCCACAGAGAGGGACACAGTGGGCTACAAACCAAGCTGTTAACTGCTGACAACAAGGGAAAAGAGAGTTTTATCCGCTCTGATTCCTTCACACACGAGTGAGAAGAACGTGAGGCAAGCAGATGAGATTACGCTCTGCACAGCTGCACACTGCAGTCATGGTGGGCACGGTGCTGTTTCGTCTTCATGGCTACCAGCTTTATCTGCTACCTAAGATCAGAGGTATGATTAAGTTGCACCAACAGACAGGTTTTTAACAACGCTGATAGGAGATTTCTAAATCAGATGTGTGACTATTCATCTTTAAACCAAGCTGGTGAGACATGCAGAAAATATATGAGATATGCAAAAATACTTCTAGTTCATGTTAAAATAAAGAAATTCAGGCTTTTAATATAAAAGTCAACACACATGCTGCAGAAAAATCAGACAAGAAAGAGAAAAAAACTCAAATGAAAAGACTTTTAAATTCAGATTGCTGATTTTTATTTAGTTGAATTTTGGGGGGGATTTTTATTCTTGTCTCATTAAGTAAAAAAAAAATCTACTTTTTGGTGGAATTATTTTAATCAAAGCCTCATTTAGAGAAGACAAATGATACAGCTGAAGCAGCAGTAGAAATGTTTTCAGGTGTTTAAACCAAAAGCAGAAAAAGACTTAGGCATAGTGAAATGAACAAACATTATAACATATGCAACATGCTGCAAGATGAGTTTTTTAAGCCTCTGTGAGATCACTCAGCATTAAACTCAGAAATATGTTTCTTTTCAGTTTTTCTTTTCTTTTGCTGCCGTGAGCTTGGTGTAAAGCCTCTGCTCGGTTTGCTTTGCTGCTCCAGCCTCTCGTCATCGCTAAACTTTAAACTGTCATCATTTTTCTGTCAGCCAAGAGGTTTTAACATAAAATGTATAATCATTCTGGTTCAGCTTCAAGGTCAATATGAAATACTTTGGACATAGCAAAGCCTCCTGCCTCCACTCTGTTCCTCTTTGTGAAATCATGGATTTGTTGAGTATATCCTTATCTTCTGCACGCACATGCAAGCCAAAAACAAGCTTCATTCTGCAGCTATGCAGATGCTGCTGTTTGCTCATTTGCAACTATAGATGTTATAGGTGTTTCATGTAATAGCACGATCTGTTGTAGGATGCTCTTTCCAAATTGTTACTCATAGCACAAAACAGCTGACTGGCAGTTTGCTGCTTTTGCAAACCTGTAGGATTTTGGAGATGATAATAAAACACAAAAACCAGCATCTTCATTTACTGTCACATTATTACCCTCCTGACAAAGATTCAATGAACAGGGCTATTTAACACAGCTGAACAATAATTCATTTTTTATGTGATTGTTATTTGTTTTGTAACCTGTTTAGTTACATTTTATCATCCATTTACTTGGTGAACAAGTAAAAGAAATCTTTCTTGTTGGGAAACAATGATCCTTTTTGGTTATATTGTAAAATAAAATGTGTATTGCACTGAAGACAACACATATAAAAGTTTCTTTCTCAAATTAATTATCTGATGTACACATATGGTCATTATTTGTATGAGGGTAAAATTCCACTTTATTATCATTTTAGTGACAATAACAAAGCCATTCACAGGTGGATACTTAAAAAGTGAAGGTACAGGCAGCTAAAAGCTCAACAACGTATCTGCATGTTGAGCAACATTGCCCTCTAGTGGACAGGCAGGTTATTACAGGCTGCTGCGACATGGGGAAAAAAGATAAAGATAAGCTTTTTCTATTTTATTTTTTAATACATTTCATCTGATTTCTTGAATTTCAGTCTATCCTGTTTTTTAAACATTTCTTAATCTAATTTTCTGTAAGCTGATGCATGGACGTCACTAGGATTGAGATATGGGGGGGGGGGGGGGGGGGGGGGGGCATAGCCCCAGGAGCTTGACCTCGAACGTTTTTTGTCACACCCTGCAAAAACTTTGTCAATTAAAACATTATCTGAAGAACATTTAACAAAACCTATTATTTTATCACTTTCTTTTCCTTTCCTACCTTTGTGCATTTTCTCTCTTCTTTTTATAAAAAATAACACTTAATCAGTTCATTAGTGGGGTTTATGTTGAAGAAAGATTTTATGTAAGTCCATTAAAAATTAGATATGTTATATTTTCAAATAAAGCTATTCATTTCAGTCTACTGCACTTAACAGGGGGAAATGTAGTCATTTATTTAATTTGTTTAATTATAAATGTTACTGAAATGTGACAATAAAGAACAAATGAATACTTGTCAAACTTTTATTCTGCCAAATGAGTGTGCAGTTGACAGTTTTATATGAATAACACTGCTATGATATGGAATAAAGGAGTATGTAATTAACAATTACAAGACAAAATAACAGTGTATATAAAAATATCCAGCAATAGAACTTATAATACAGAAAGTCAACTATACAGATACAACTTGACATGAGGTTGCAGGCCAGATGATAATTATAGTTTTTTTTCTCAAGGTCTCTTACCTGTTCACTCCTAAATAGAAAACTGTTCAATTTTGCTTGGGAACTTTGTGTTCAGGTAAATGCTCATAATGGTGCACTCGCCCCTGTTTTCGCTGTAGATCACTGACCTTGACCATGCAGATCTCCTCAGCATCAACCACCTGGTCTCTCTCCTGTTCCTCACTCACTCTCTTAAAAAATCTTCGTATATCCATCTAGCCAACACATTGAAAAGCATTTTCAATTTCTAATGCCAAGACAAATGCTCCTATGCCATTTAGTTTTCACTCACAATAATTGAAACAGACATTGGTGGATAAATGGTACAGAATATGGACAACTGTTAGCCTAATATAGCCTATGTTTGGTTGCTCATGATGATGGCATTTTCCATAACGTCACATTAAGCTGCCAAAATTTATGTTAGTTAGATGAGTACAATATCTCCTTTCTTTACCATAGGTAAACATAGGAAATATTAAGCAATTGACAACCCACATGGAAAGAATTCATATAAACATATAGGTTTTAATATATGTTTTGATGTAGCTTTTGAATATATGTCACATATATAAAACTGGCTGTTTACTATATTATAGATACATATATGTACCTATAATATATATATATATATATATATATATATATATATATATATATATATATATATATATATATATATATATATATATATATATATATATATATATATATATATATATATATATATATTATTATAAAAAATATATAATATAGAAAAATGGTCAATAATATACACATTCGGCCATATTCTGATTCAGGTTTTTAGTGTGGAGTGATTTTTGTGCCACCAACTGGAGCGTGCAGTGATCAATCTGCAAGAGCACAACCTGCTCTGCAGTCGTATGCAGCCCTCTCTCTGCATGCTCAACTCCGTCTCTGCCTGCACAGATCTCTCCCTGTTGTTGCTCAATTTGCAATTTACAAAGCAATGTAGCCTCTCCGTCAGCCAATCAGACAGCTCTCCATTATGCAATCAAAGCATGTCCAGGAAATACTGCCAGGAAAATTGCACTTTTTTCAGATAAAGAGGACTTTATATAATTATATTTAATTAAATTGATTAACCCTCCTCTTTTCCTGGGACATTTCCACTGTTCACTTCCTTTTACACATCAAGGGATCAGTTATGTCTAACCAAACAGAGAAGAAACACTTTATATGTTGAAATTAAAAGTCCTCTTTAACTGAAAAGAGTGCAGTTTAACAGTTTTAGGAATGGGCAATGTGTCTTTTCTGGAAGTCAAATATGGTCACCCTAATCATGACACATGAATTACAACAAAGTATTTTGCAGGCAGTGGATGGTGACTGGTAGCTAACCAGCAGCAGAAAGCAGTTCAATAAGCTGTTAAATGGGTATTTTTCTGTAAAGCAGTATTTCCTGGACATGCTTTGATTGGATAAAACAGAGCTGTCTGTGATTGACTGGTGGAGAGGCTACATGTTGAGAGAAGGGAGAGATTTGCATGCGCAGAGACAGAGTTGAGCCCACAGAGAGGGCTGCAGCTCCTGCACACAAGCGCAAGCAGGTTCTGTTTGTGCAGACTCATTACTGTACGCTCAAGATGGTGGCACTAAATCACTCAATGAACTGGCTGGCTCGTTAATCATGTCACTTCAGGGGAGTTTTCCAACCATTTTACTTGACATCAAAGCTTTTCATTATGGTTTGCGGCATATAAACATGCTAGCGGAGTTAGCATTAGCATGTCGGTGCGGTAGCATTTTCCTCTCTCGTCTGAACTATAACCTTGAAATGTTAACGGTGTGCTGCTGTTGCTGTCTTACCCTAATGTGATGTTGAGTGACTT